CCCTGCCGTCCTCAGCAGATAACTACTCTTCTTTTGAGAAACAGCTTTTGGCTTGTTACTGGGCTTTAGTAGAGACTGAACACCTAACCATGGGCCACCAAGTCACCATGAGGCCTGAGCTGCCCATTATGAACTGAGTGTTGTCTGACCCACACAGTTATAAAGTTGGACGTGCACAGCAGCACTCTATCATTAAATGGAAGTGGTATATTAGAGATCGGGTTCAAGCAGGACCTGAAGGCACAATTAAGTTGCATAAGGAAGTAGCTGAAATGCCTATGGTTTCCACTCCAGTCACATTACCTTCCCTCTCCCAGTCTGCACCTATGGCCTTATGGGGAGTTCCTTATGATCAGTTGACTGAGGAAGAGAAGACTCATGCCTGGTTTACAGATGGTTCTGCATGATCTGCAGGCACCACTTGACAGTGGACAGCAGCGGCACTGCAGCCCCTTTCTGGTACTTCCCTGAAGGACAGTGGTGAAGGGAAATCCTCCCAATGGGCAGAACTTTGAGCCATGCATCTGGCTGTTCACTTTGCATGGAATAAGAAATGGCCAGATGTGCAATTATATACGGATTTATGGGCTGTGGCCAATGACTTGGCTGGATGGTCCGGGATTTGGAAGGAGCACGATTGGAAAATTGGTGACAAGGATGTATGGGGAAGAAGTTTGTGGATAGATCTCTCTGAGTGGGCCAAAGGAATGAAGATATTTGTGTCCCACGTGAATGCCCACCAAAAGGTGACCTCAGCAGAGGAGGACTTTAACAATCAGGTGGATAGGATGACACGTTCACTGGAAATCAGCCATCCTTTCTCCCCTGCTACTCCTGTCTTTGCTCAATGGGCTCATGAACAAAGTGGCCATGGTGACAGGAATGGAGGTTATGCATGGGCTCAGCAACATGGACTTCCAGTTACCAAGGCCGATTTGGCTCCCGTTAGTGCTGAGTGCCGAATCTGCCAGCACCAGAGACCAACACTGAGTCTGCGATATGGAACCATTCCTCAGGGTGATTAGTCAGCAACTTGGTGGCAAGCTGATTACATTGGACCACTTCCATCATGGTAAGGACAGCATTTTGTTCTTACTGGATGCTTGAATAATTTCTCTTAGAAAGATCACCATAAGGCTGGTCCCCATGAGGCAGAGGTTAAAGATGTCCCAAATGTCCAAACTACCGTGCCACTCCATCATTTCAGACATTTACTCTTCCTCCTGTAATCTCTCCCATCTTAAGTTTCCGTATTTCACTGTAATGCCTCACAAAACTCACAGACACCCAAGGGATCATCTCATGTAGTAGTGGTGGAGGCTGGCAGGCTGGCGAGTCCCAGGTCCCTGAGTGGGTCTGGAGGATCCTCCCAATTTTCAGGGTTTGATGAACCTTGATCAGCAGAGTAGATGATGGCTACTGTTCCAAATCCAGGGGTGAGATGAGGATGAGCCAAAGTACAGAACTGGAGCAAGAGAAGGGCGAACCTTCCCAGAAGATTCATAGGTTTACCCTCAAGGAAGCTAAGAATGGTGATTTGAGTTATACCCACCAGCAAGGCAGGACCAAGATACATTCCACCTGTGTTATTCCAACAGAAATAACCCAAGTGGTTAAAGCATCAGGCTGCGAACCAAAAGGTTGGTAGTTTGAACCCATCAGCTGCTTGGTGGGAGAGAGTTGAGACAGGCTGCTTCCATAAAGGTTTATAGCCTTGGAAACCCTGTGGGGGACCATCTACTCTGTCCTGTAGTGTTGCTGTGAGTTGAAACTGACTCCATGACGGTAGGTTTGGCTTGGTTTGCATCATGCTTCTAGAATTTCTCCATGGACTTAATTGCAGTTATTTCAGGTCTCCTCTGAATTTTTGTTCTCTTTAATTTACCTCAGTTTCTTTTTAATTCACTCTGCCCATCTCTGTCCTTAAATCTGTGTATTTAGCCCATTAACATTTAACGTTATTGCTAAGAGTAGGAGCTCTGGTAGCATAGTGCCTAAGGCACTTGACTGCTAACCAGAAGGCTGGCGGTTCAAACCCACCAACCATTCCTCAGAAGGAAGGTTGGGCAATCTACTTCCATAGTGATACTGCCTCGGAAACCCAAGGAGGGGTCGCTATGAGTCAGGGCCGACTCGATGGCATATAACAACAACAACAACATTGCTAAGAGTTAAATTTGACATTTTATTTTCTTTTTGTTGTTGATGTTTTTCACTTATTTGTTTTATTTTTCCGCCTATCATAAAGGAAGTCTATTATAGTCTCTCTTCTGGAGTTGTGATTTAATCCTCATTATTTAAACATCTCATATAAAAATGACCTTTCAAACTATGTCCTTAGGCAGATCTCCCTTTCTCTCTGAGCTCATTCCTACACTTACATTTCTGTTCAACATTAAAAGGCAGCTCATTATCTTTTTCATTCCAACTTTATTTCCCACTAATACCCTCTGGTGGTATAGTGCCTAAGGCATTTGACTGCTAACCAGAAGGCTTGTGGTTCAAACCCACCAGCTACTCCTCGAAAGAAAGATTGGGCAATCTACTTCTGTAGTGATATTGCCTCAGAAACCCAAAGAGGGGTCGCTATGAGTCGGATCTGACTTGATGGTGGTGCGTTGTGTTTTGCATTGCGATACCCTTAAGAGTTTGCCAAATTTCAGTCATCCATGTCCCACAATGTTCCATATTTTTTGCCATATGAGTATAATCTGTGCCTTTTTTTTTAACTTTTTTCTTTGTCTCTCCTTTTTACTTAGCCTCACCTTAATCTTTGTTGTTGTTGTTAGGTGCTGTTGAAGTGGTCCCAACTCATAGCAACCCTGTGTACAATAGAACAAAACACTGCCTGATCCTGTGGCATCCTCACAATCGTTGTCCTGCTTGATCTCATCGTTGTGGCCACTGTGTCAACCCATCTCATTGACTCTTTTTTGCTTCCCTTTATCCAACATGATACCTTTCTCCAGGGACTGGTCCCTTCTGACAACATGACCAAAGTATGAGAGACGAAGTTTGGTCATTCTTGCTTCTAAACAGTATTCTGGCTATCCTTCCTCCGAGACAGATTTGTTTGTTCTTCTGGCAGTCCCTAAATGTTCTTCACCAACACCACAGTTCAAAAACATCAATTCTTCTGCAGTCCTTCTTATTCACCGTCCAGCTCTCACATGTATATGAAGCTTTTGAAAATACCATGGCTTGGGTCAGATGTACCTTATTTTCAAAGTGACCTTTTTGCTCTTAAACACTTTATAGAGGTCGTTTGCAGCAGATATGCCCAATGCAAAATGTCATTTGATTTCCTGATTGCTGCTTCCATGGACAGTGATTGTGGATCTAAGTAAAATGAAATCTTTGACAACTTCAGTCTTTTCTCATTCATCAAGATGTTGCTTATTGGTCTAGTTGTGAGGATTTTGTTTTCTTCGTGTTGAGGTATAATCCATACAGAAGGCTGTAGTCTTTGATTTTCATCAGTAAAAGCTTCAAGTCTTCTTCATTTTCAGCAACAGGGTTGTGTAATCTTCATACTGCAGGTTGTCAACAAGTCTTCCTCCAATCCTGATTCCATGATCTTCTGCAAAATCATGGGCTTTGATGGGCTGGATACACCACCAGAGCTCCTTACTTTTTGTTGGTTCATATAAAAGTAAATATTGAATGTTTGTCATTGAACGTTTATGTGGGTACCATATGAAACTATCTTGTGTATCAACGGTGGTCTAGGTACTACACTTAGGGGAACATTGCTATACACAGTTCTCTGTTATATTCCTTGCATTTTGCATGTTCTAACCTGGTTTTTCTGCAGTTCTTTCATTTCCTTTCCTAATTCAATTCAGTAAACATTGTGGTAGGCCGTTAGGATAGAACTAATGGTAAAATGCAGTTCTTCCTTCAAGACGTTTATACTCTGGTAGAGGAATTACCAATCCAGGAGCCTAATAGAATATAAAAAGTCCTCCCTGTCTTTTTTAATAAGGAGCCTTGGTGACGTAGTGCCTAAGGCATTTGACTGCTAACCAGAAGGTTGGTGGTTCAAACCCACCAGCCACTCTGCAGAAGGAAGACTGGGCAGTCTTCTTCTGTAAATATTTACCACCTCAGAAACCCAATGGGGGTCACTGTGAGTTGGAATTAACTTGATGGCAGTGAGTTTAGTTTGGTTTTTTGGTCTCTTTTAACACCCAGCTCAAATTCTACGTCCTATGAAAGTCCTTCATGAGCTACCCCTAATCAAAGAGAATTTCCCCTTCTTAAACTTTCCTATTATATTTAGTGATCTGAATAACTTTTTTTATTTTTACTTTCTTTTAGTGTTCTCTCTATGTGTATCTTCTAGATGAAGATTTTTTGCATTCTGCTATGGATATTGTACTTAGCGGGGACTCAATAAATAGCTGTTTGGTAAGACAATGAAATACCATGTTGTTGTTGTTGTTGTTATGTGCCGTCGAGTCATACCTGACTCATAGTGACCCCTCCTTGGGTTTCCGAGGCAGTATCACTACGGAAGTAGGATTGTCCAACCTTCCTTCCGAGGAGTGGCTGGTGGGTTTGAACCGCCAGTCGTCTGGTTAGCAGGCAAGTGTCTTAGCCACTATGCTACCAGAGATCCCTAATACCATACTATTTAAAAAACCCCCAAAAACTCTGTATTTCTTTAATTAGAATTTTATTTCAGAAAATTTGTATTTTCCTGACAGTCATATATTATGAATATAACCTTTGAAAAATTCACACTTGGAACCTTAAGTCTGAGACTGAGAGATTAAAAAAAAAAAAAAAAAAGGAATTTCTAGAGGGTCTTTTGCCAGACTACAAGCAGAGGAGCAAAAAGCTTTGACTAGAAAGAGTGTAAGGAGTCTGTAATTTTAATCTATACCTCAGCTGAGTAGGAGCTAGTTTTGAAGTTGAGGTGTTGTAGTGAAAGTATCCAATTCTCTTTTGTTCTTTTATAAAGTATGGTGCTATTTTTAGTTCATTTTGATCTTTGTTTACTTGCCTTTCTGTACTTTCTGGTCTTTGTTCTTCTTGTCCTCTTGATTACCCTTTTTTCTCACAGTACTTCTCTTCTTGCCCTTGACCTCCTTGTTCTTGCCAGCTTTCTGGTCTTTAATGTTCTTATCCTTGCCCTCTTTGTTGTCCTTACCCTCCTGCTTGTCTATGTCTTTATCATCATTGTCCTTGTCCTTCTTGTCCTCATCTCCCTTTTTGTCTGTGTCTTTATCATTATTGTCCTTGTCACCCTTCTTGTCCTTGTCTTCCTTTTGGTTCTCATCTACCTTCTTGTCCTTGCCTTCCATTTTGTCCTTATCCTCCTTCTTGTCCTTGTCCTCCATTTTGTCCTTATCTCCCGTATTGTCCTTGTCCTTCTTTTTGTCCTCATCTACCTTCTTGTCCATGTCCTTCTTATCCTTGCCCTCCATTTGGTCCTTATCCTCCTTTTTGTCTTTTTCTTCCTCCTTTACAATGCCTTCCTTCGTATCCCCTTTCTTGTCCTCATCTTCCTTTTCCTTCCTGTCCTCATATCCCTTCTTATCCTTGTCCTTGGCCTCCTTCTCGTCCTGGCCTTCTGTCTTGTCCTTTTCCTCCTTCTTGTCTCTGCTCTCCTCGTTATCCATATTATCTTTATTGTTCTTGCTTTCCCTTTTGTCCTTATCCTTTGTATCCTTGTCCTCCTCTTTGTCTTTATCCTCCTTTATGCCCTTATCTTCTTTTTCTTCCTTCTTGTACTTGTCCTTCTTGCCCTCATTCTCTTTCTTGCTTTCACCTCCCTTCGTGTCCTTGTCCTCCTTCTCATTATCTCCCTTCATGCTGTCATCCTCCTTATCGTTACCTCCCTTCATGTCCTCATCTTCTTTCTTGACTTCATCTCTCTTCTTGTCTTTATCCTTTCTGTCATCTTCCCTTTTATCCTTGTTCGTATTCTCCTTTTTGTCTTCACCTCCCTTCTTGTCTTCCTTTTGCTCCTTTCTTCCACCTTTATCTTTTTCATCATCTTGTTCCTTTGGCTGGTCTTTATCTATTACCTTTTCCTTGTCTGTACCCTTATCAGTATCTTCCTTTTCTTTTTTCTGTTCTTTACTTTGAGTTTTCCCAGGAAGGTGTTCAACTTTCACTCCAGTTTTCTGTTTTTGTTCCTTTTCATAGGAACTAACTTTGCCTTTATTCTGGTATTTAGTACCACTTTGGTGATTTTGTGATGAGAGTGCCTGGATTCTCAAGTCAGTTTCCTGTTTTGGAGTCATTTTCTTTGCTTCTCTAGTGCCACTTTTTGCCTCTGGCTTTGAGTAACCTTTCAAATTACCTGAAAAATATAACAAAGCATATAATAAAAGTGCATATTTCACATCTTAAGTAATTTCTTGCTATTGTTATTTTTGTTATCAGATACTTTTGCGTTAAATTTGAGGGAATAATTTTTTCTCCTAATAATATAAAATGTGTAAAGCTGTATACACACACAAGATAAAAGATCCTTGAAAAACAATTTTTTTTCGGAGACTTGAACTGAGAAAGAGAAAAATATGGCAACACTGAAGAATTGATAATTGCTTAATATGGCCTAGTGCCTAAGGCACTGGACTGCTGACCAGAAGGCTGGCAGTTCAAACCCACCAGCTACTCCTTGGAAGGAAGACTGGAAAATCTACCTCCATAGAGATACCACCTTGGAACCCCAAGGAGGGGTCGTTATGAGTCAGAACCTACTTGACGGAGTGAGTTTGTTTTTTTTGGTTTAGAGTGTATGATTAAAGAATAACAAAAGATGTAGATTAAAAAAGAAAGGACATTTTTTTCTGAGAAAATTATACTTTTAAATGTTTATGCTTCCTTAAGGAAGCCCCGCCACCCTTTGAATATAAGAGTTGCTAAACCAGCCCCTTTGGGAGACAGTGAGGCTGAGACTTTGGATGGCTCTCTCAGGAGTTTTCAGGAAATTTGTACTGAAAGCTGTTCAGAAATGGAAGTGTTACTTAAGATAGAAAACCAGCTAGTTCTTGTAGTACAATGCTAAACAGAAATATTTACTGCTGTGTAGTATAAAGCAAACTAAATAATATTTTTATAAATAGGAAAAATAGAGCAGTTTTTTTTTTTATTGGAATCTGTATTCCTTTAACTACATGTAAATACATTTTGTGATTACTTTATATTTTAATTGATCTTGGGTGTTCACTACTATTGTGTTTCACTGCATCTTTTCTTATTTAAAATAGTGCAAACAGTGTAGTAGTTACTGAAATGGGATGGAAAATATAATTTAAACAAATAATGAGAGTTAGAAATCTCTCCAAATTGGAAGTGAATCAAGGGTTTAATGAGAGCTCATGGTGTGCATCACAGTGTCTTTCCTTGATGGGAAAGTCTCATTTACTTCTGTCCATCTATAAAAGACATGCACTCTTATTGCCTCTTCCCAATCCATTCCTTCTGCTGGAGACTAGGTGGGTGTTTTGTGTTTGTTGCATTATCTGTACCAGGCACCCTTATTCTTCCCTTTCTGTATTTTATTAATGAAGGAAAATTAACATTTGGGGAATTAGGGCACACAGCAGCTTGGAAGTTGGGGAAATAAACATGAAGTAATTCATAACTTATGAAATTGGGCTGGAGATGTTAGGGCGAGGGAGATGGGTGAGGACTTTACTATGAAGAATGTCCCCAGTAGAGATTCCAGCGTGGAATATGGGCATTGTGGAACAGGCCTGTTTGTGGTTTTGAGAAGCCTTGTTAGACAGAATTTATGGTGATATAGTGATCATTGGATGAGGAGTCAAGAAATATTTAGGTTCTTTTACTTATTATGTGTTCTTTGCCAAAGGTCCTTAATCTTTTTGAATTCTAATTTCTTCATATTGTACAAGGAAGTTAATAATACTGGCTGTATTTATTTCATAATTATGTGAGAACAAAATGAGATAAGATACTTTGATGTGCTTTTTTAAAACTGTTAGTAGCATATGAAACGTATATTTAAGTTTAAAAATTTGCCAGCACAAGAGGAATCTATACTTTAAAATGCAAAAACTACAGTGGATTTTAATTTAAAACTACTTCATGGTTAAGATAAATCAATTATCATGTAAAGTCCCACCACCCAAAGATTACTGTTTTTAATTTTATTGTATACCTAGATGATTAGGCGGTTCAAACCCACCAGCCACTCCTCGGAAGGAAGGTTGGGCAATCCTACTTCCGTAGTGATACTGCCTCGGAAACCCAAGGAGGGGTCGCTATGAGTCGGGCCGACTCGACGGCACATAACAACAACAACATAACAAGATGATTAGATTTTATTTGGATTTTTTTTTTTACGTAGTGTAGTCTAACATTCTAAAAATTTTGTGCCCTATGTTCTATTCAATATTATAAGCCTTTTTCATATTATAAACCTTTCATAAATCGTTTGAATGGTACTGGGAGCTCTGGTAGCATAGTGGCTAAGACACTTGCCTGCTAACCAGACGGCTGGTGGTTCAAACCCACCAGCCACTCCTCGGAAGGAAGGTTGGCCAATCCTACTTCCATAGTGATACTGCCTCAGAAACCCAAGGAGGGGTCGCTATGAGTCGGGGCCGACTCCACGGCACATAAGAACAACAACAACATGTTATTCTTTTAAATAGCATATACATTTTATAATATTTGAGGTTTATACTTAACAACAAGAGCAAACAACTATTTGTGAGACATGGGTCCCTGGGTGGTGCACATGGTTAAGCACGAGATTAATAACTGAAGGGTTGGCGGTTCGAACCTACCCAGAGGTACCTCAGGAGAAATACTTGGCGATCTACTTCTGAAAGGTCACAACCTTGAAAATTGTATGGAGTGCAGTTCTGCTCTACACATATGGGTTTGTCATGAGTTAGAATCTACTTGATGTCAACTGGTTTTGTTTTCTGGAGTTATTATTTACTAATAAAATTTAATAGTTTTTGCTGGCCACTCAGGATAACCAGGCCCAAGATATCACTTCTCTAATCTTTTTTTTTAGTTAACAGACCACACTCAATTTAGAAATCACCAGTGAGCTAGGGATATTGAATAAGTACATCAGCCCAAGGCTGCTGGGGTAAAATTGAAGATAGTGCAAACAGTATTCTCCAAATCACTTAGGATACTTGTGGATTCCAGAATTGAGAAACAGAGAAGGAACTTAGCAGTGGGCATGGGAGATATTTCTAGAAAACAAGCAGACAAAACATTAGATTGGTTTTTGGTTTAAGTATCTAGTTCTTTCTCATAGTATTTGCAGAGGCACATTGGAAATGAGACTTTCAGGGAAGACCAAACCCTCTATTTTTTCCAGAAGCAATAAATATGATATGAGATCTTATATAGCTTTCCTTCCTGTCAGGTTCCCAAAGTGTATTGGGTCTGGAGAAATGGTAGGATGAGGAAGTTTTGATTTAGGGTTTTCTTTCTTTTCTTGGTCCACAGAACTGAAATCTTTTAGTGAATTGTTATACTTTCATGCAATTTAATGTGTTCCCTTCCTTCCTTTGTTTTCTCCTGTTGTTGATAACCATGTAAATATTTAATGGGAGAGTTTTCCTCTGGTGGTTGTTTCAGTTAATCAAGGGGGGAGTTTGTTCTTCCTGTAACACCATTAATAGCTTAAGAGAATGCTGAGCAGTGAACAAAGAGGGGGAAGTGTAGATACTGGGTTTCTTCCATTAGCAATAATGGAAATGTGGAAGAGTACTAGCAACAAATTATAGTTAAGGGGAAAACTAATGTGCATGTATGGATATGATTTTACTATAGATTTTTGTAAAATAAAAACACAAATGTGACTTGGTGGCAGGTTATTTATTCCATATGATTACAAAGATTTCTTGGGAAAGAACCTCCAACTCTCTGTCTGTATCTGTGGAGCTACAACCCTGCTCAGGGAAGAATTTTAAGAGGAGGCAGAAGACATACATAGTTTTCATCATCTTTTTTTTTTTTCTCTCAGCCCCCATAAGAAATGCGAACCTATCAGAAAGTGTTAAAATCTTTTTGAAAAATCGGTTGCACTGAATGTCATTGGATCCTCTTTACTTTCCTGATTCCTTTATTATCTTCTGTTCCCCAAAAAACAGTTGGTAAAATTTCTAGATTTTATGTGTGATTTGCTAAAAGCAGTTCTAGAAGATGACTTCCTTACATTTTACTCTTAGGTAGGTGAGTTGTCTGTTTTCAGAATTAATCAATAAGTTAAGGGACTGTTGGGTAAATAGCTAGAAGTGGGTGTAGAAAATATCCCCAGGTCCCTTGGGAGCTTTGTATTTGTAGATGCTGGGACTGAGAATTAAAGAACTTACCAATACGTCTTGAAGGTCCTGTGGGGGGGGGGGAAATACAAAATAATAGATTATTGTTAGATTCAGCAATCCAGTTCATTCAAAGCATTTGTAGTAAGCTTTCATCAGATATATGGCTTTTTGGAAGAAACAACCCCTCACAGTTACTAAGTTGTGATGAACTGTGGTGGGGCCTTAGGAAGGGCTCTGGATGGTATGTCTCCATAACTATGATAGGATCAACTAACCAAACTAGTGTGGGGTGAGGCCCTTCTGGTTTGTTCTTGTCTCTAGACTGAAGGAGATAGTTTGTGGGGCCATTCCATTAAGCATCCCCTTCCTCTGAATTTCCTCTTCCTTTTCCTCCATTGAATCTTTCTGTCAATCATGAGCTTGAAATATTATCAATAATGTTTGGTGAATAATGAAGAGAGAAGGGAAAATATAAGCATCAATCTTTTTCAGTATTAGAAATGAAGTTTTCTTTAAGGAGCTAGAAAGTGCAAATAACTGTATGTATGTGGTTACCATACTACTAGATCTTGCAAAAATAGAAACATAAATATCTTTGAATAATATGTTTATCAAGAGGAAAGCACCCATCCGTCCATGTCTATCTCCACCTGCTATAGTCCCATTCCATATAGCACTCTGGGAAGAGGAAATGGAGGGGAACCTGTTCCATAGTCCTTTCTCTCATTCTCTATAGAAATTGGAAACCTATCAGAAACTGTTCAAAACTCTATTCATGTTTGCTGATTTGCATTTTATGAATTTTCTTTAATTTTTTGATGCCTTTATGTCTTTCTTTTTTCCATCTTTCTCTGTTACTATAATCCGTAGTGGAAAATTTATTACTTCTGCTGACAACTTCTTTGAACAAATCATAGGAGATTGCTTCTCTTTAGGGAATGTTCTTCCTTTCATCAGTAAATTCAGTGATCATGGGGAAA